AAACGAAATTTTTTTCCAAAATAATTACTTGAAAACAAATAAGTTCAAAACTCAATTTTGAAAACCATGATGCAGGTAATTTCATCCAATATACCAATACACATAATCATATCAAACTCAATTCCCAGTTTAAGTCATTATGGGGTACTCCCCTCCTTAGGAGTGTTTAGCCTCCCATAGGGTATAGTACGCCATAACAGCAAAAAGAGGGAACCGGGCTCTGATACCAAACTGTAACACCCTACCCTATACGTTTTGCCTAATCATATTGTTCATACAATTGCAGCGGAATTAATCTCGGGTGTTACATTAATTATCAAAATTTACCTAAATAAAATTTCGACATGAATTACTCGCGTAATGGGCTAACAGTTCTTCCATATGATCCTGCAAAATAATTCATCTGAATCCATGCATTCATAGACAAACACATATACTCACAACCATAAGCATTGGCTTTTCATAGCCATAGTCACAGTTTCATACTACACAACTGCATACCATACTAATACAAGCCATAATCGTCATAACTTACACAACCACAAAAATATACACATATCATTAACTTTCCACACCTGTGGATATCTAACACTACATTAGAAGCTAGTATGCACATGAAAAACGTTCTCAAAACATTTTTACAAAAAGGTGTGGATCACTGGCCAAAATCCCGAGTAGTAGTCCAAGCACAGAATGGTTGAAGACCATACCTCATCTTGCCTTCAACTCTTTCTCAGCTCCCACCTATACACCTATCTACTGCTGCTGATGATCTGCTTACACATGGCATAAGCAGAGAAGAAGAATAAAAGAGGGTCAGCTCATAGCTGAGTGAGATAATCATAGCATCGTGAGTTCATAACATAGCATACCACTACCATACATCTAGCAAACAAGCCAAAGCACTAGGATCAGATCTCAGCCCTCCGACATCCCAATAGGCAAAAGACTCAACCACCTTGACTTATTCATATGCATCTTATCATGTTTTACTTATAGGCGCCTGGCTACTCCCATGCTAATAACTCTCCTGGGAAACATACCCCACATCCCGTCGGATGTAGTCACATACCCCAACATCCCGTCGGATGTGGTCATACATACCTCACACCACTATGGGTGTAGTCATACCCCGACACCACTCTGGGTGTGGTCGTAAGAATCCTTCAGTCACCACCACATGAGAGGTGTGACTATCATACATATCATAATAGAGTAATAGCATAGGGAGCCCTAATTACTATGTAGTTGACCGTGAGACCACAACACTTATATTTGGTATCCTTATACATGATTCATATCTCATCTTTCTTAATCATAATTCATTACTTGGACATGTTCTTAACCTGGCCACAATTGGCTCAACATAACCAGGAGTCGTATAATTGCACTTCCTCGGGATAAACCCTCGTGCAAGTCATCCTCCTTAAAACATCATAATATCACCAGGGAATATATATTTTCCCACTTGTGCATCCAAATACAACAATCATGAAAAATCATACCTAATCACCTTCTCGAACCATCGTAAAGCATATTAACAGTCAAGCCCACAATTTGCAACATATACACAATCATCAGCATAAACAAGGTTCATATCGATTAGGGCAAGTCAATAATATCATACAGCAGTCCAGGGTTCAACATATAGCACAAAAGTCCATACACCCCTAATCATGCCATTCTAGTTCACCTAGGTCAATTCTAAGCATCAATATAATTATCGTGATACGACAAACCCGGTATGCCGTGCTAATCCCTCACCAGTTCTGGTCGTTCAAACACCGATTCTAGCCTCCCGTACTAAAACGTCAATTTCACGAACGAACCCCGAATTAAAATTCGAGACCGTCCTAATATCCCCTGCAGTATCCCCGTCAATATTAGTTCTAGGCTCCGGGTCAAATTCTCCATAAAAATACATCAAACCCTGGCCGGAGCTAAATTCAGCGGTTTGGACCCCGGCCTAAATAATAGCCGAAATTCAGGGATTAGAACTAGAGGATTGATTACCTCGCTGCAGGAAGCTCGTATATGAAATTTGTGCTCAATCCGGCTTCCAGATACTCCGAAACCCTAATTTGGCTTATCGGGAATTCAAGAAATTCCTGAACCAAAAACTCGTTTTAAAGCTCTAAATAGATAAATCACGATGCATAGATGAATTAGGCATTACTTACGGGATTTTTGGATTAGTAGAACTCAAGATTTGAGCTCTGAAATTTTACCCTCGTTGCTCCCCTGAAGCTCTGCTTCTCTCGGTCTGTAAAAGAAGAAGAAGAATTGGGATGGGAATGGGAAATGGACGTGTAATCAGTAATATATATGCCGACCGTATATATATATATATATATATATATATATAATTAATACGTATACTTATCCGATCGATCGATAATCCAATTTTCGCTGAAATACTATCAAAACGCTCGATTTTAAATCGCGAACTTTCTAGCGATCGAAATATGGGTTTTGCCGTAACGGGATGTTACATCAGGTACCTTAGTGGTGATGTGAGTACCATCAATTGCGCCAATACATCTACGAAAGTGAGGCCATTACCTTTTGTCATTACGAATCTTCTTCGGAACCTCTTTGAAGTTGTAGTCTTGTGGCTTGATAATATCTTTAGAAAAAATCACTAAAGAATCAAGCACTTCTTCAAACTTTCTACTAACATTTTCTCCGGAGTGTTTGAACCTATTTTGCGCATGACAATTAGTTTCTCCCATTGAGCATGTCCATAAAAACATAGCAAGTGCCTCCTCCGCCCTCATATTTAGAGATGACTTTAACCCATAATTATTGACTAGCAATTTAGCCAAACCCGTAAACAAATGTGGCTCCATTCTAAACATCCTGTAACTTTCACCTAGGGCATTTAGTGTTTCCAATACCCATTGCCATCTAGTTGAGTTTGAAACTCTTGGTTCTTGCTTTGATAAATACTTTGTGTAATAATTGTTCATCATGCCAGCTCCCATAGCAGCAAGTGCGAAGAAAATCACATCTTCAAGTTCCTGTGATTCTTCCACCCTTTCGCCTTCGGTACTCCTCTGTTTTCAAATCAAAGAATCACTTAATGTTGAAATGATAAACCGGCAAACACAAATCTAAGAGAGGGATATATCAAGAGGAAAATCATCAAACAAATTATAAGTAAAATTTCATAATATATAAGCCATTGTCATGAGAAAAACATTAATAAATTGTTCGATTTATGCAACAAATAAAAGAAAAATGTTCCCAATTCAACACTAAACTTATGAATTTTTGTTTTTTGAAAATAAATTATTTCTCCCTTCCATATTCTTCTTTAAGCCAACGTAGCTGCAACTCTTGTGTCCCTAATGATATGAAGATCTCCCGGTTATCCATATTCTTGAATAATCGACCTGCACATGTAATGAGCTCAGGAGCATTGTCCACTCTATGGAGACCTTTGACAAATGACAAATCCCATACATTCTGAAATGGTATAGGTGACAATTGTGTGTTTCTCGTTATTCCATCCTTACTCAGTTTCTCCTTGCACAAGCTTTCTCCATATTCCATATTCTTTCTTCAAAGTATCCCACTTGTTTTTTACTGCTTGTAGACATACTTGTTTTGTGTCCTTGCTTGGAACTTTGCTTGGAACTTTTCTTCAAACATGCCCCTGTACTTTGTAAAAATTATCAAACATGCACTTTTGTTAAAATTTTCATCCAAAAATCGTCAACCAATGCCGAACTTTAGTTTGGGCGACACAAGTATCTAAAATATCTCTAATAATTTCATTTTAGAATATTTTTGAATCTTTTGTATAGCCAAATAATTCAAATCATTTCACTTTGAAAAGACTTAGAGAAATAAAACGGGGGACAAAACTGATATTTTCTCTCCCATTTGCCGATGTCGGGTCGTCTAAATCTCGGTTCAACCATGATTGACGATTTTTTCAATGGAAATTTTAGCAGAAGGGCATGTTTGATAACTTGGTCAAAGTACAGGGGCATGTTTGATGTAAAAAATAGTAGAGGGGCATGTTTGATAAAACGTCATAGTAGAGGGGCATATTATACCTATAACCCTTAAATAAAATTCACCTAAGGTATTCTTATCATTGCACCTAGCATACAGAAGGAACAAAATAAGTCTCTTAATCAATAAAAATGCAATCTAGAATCAGATGTAGAACACGTACAATAAATAAAGAATGGGATTGAATAAAACAAAGCTAAAGATTCCACCGAACCTAGAATTTCAAGACTAGAACACAACATATAAAATAATAGAATTGGAATATAGCAAAGCCAAAGAAATCGTCCAAGCTATCAATCGAATGTATTGGTCAAGGAATATCAATAGGTAAATATATGACAAGAGCAAAGTAAGATGGGAACTTACCGGACTTCTTTTCTCAATGATCCAACGTGGAACGTGCGCAGTGCCCAGCCCACACAAAAGAGAAACCTGATATGAGAAATGGACGTGGGAAAAGAAAGCCCTAAGATACATATATATAAGGCGGCAGCAGCTAGTGATAGCAAGGCGGGAAGTTATGGAGGGAAATCAATAGTTCCTGCTAGAATAAGGATAAAAAAGTAATATATCAGCGACTAATAAAAAAGCCAATCACAGAAGCTCCATAAACAACACTTTTGAGTTTTTTTAAAAGCCCAGCTTTTAGAGGTGTTTGGCCCAACTTCTGCGTTTGGACTCAAAAAACACTTTTAAAAGTCGGGCCAAACATAGGGATAGATGCCAAAGGAGACACATTGAATTTCATTGTCTTGCATTTACCCTTTATTTAATTAATAATTTAGCTCAAAAAATAAAATTATTCATAAAATTATTCATGCAATATATTCCCATAAGCTCTATGTAGTATCTTTAATAATTAGGATCACTTGGAAGTTAGGATGCCAAATGATGTATTTAGAAAATACGAATTAGGAGAATTCATCATTTTTTCGTCTTAAAATGAAATATAGTACTTGTATTTGAGCATAAGATGAGACCACCAAAATCATTCATTATGGATGATTGTCAATCTCAGATAAAAATATGAGATTGTCAATCTCTCATTTTTTCTTCGTCATTTTTTTAGGGACCACCATAATTATTCAACCTACAAACAATGTATTTTTCAAATCCGTGGATTGAAACAATACATATAAATTGATTAAATACATCAATCTAGAGAATCTTAACTACCAAACATGTTCTTAATCATTACAAAATATTTACGTAATATGTTTACTTAATTGATACATAAGAGATAATTATTCATCCATAAATTTTACGTAGTTTCTTAATCATATTAAAAAATTCATACGTAATATGTTTATTTAATTGATAAGAACAACTGCACCTCCACAAATTGTACGTAACATATTTTTGATTTATGTAACTGTTATAGAACAGTGTTATGTTAAACTTTTGTAATACGTTGGCTAATAATAAAATCAAGTTACGAAAAGTATCACATTTGACTAAAACTTATTAAAAGATTTAAATCATCTGACTAAAACTTACTAAAGAGATTGTGAATATTAGTTAATAATAAATGAATAAAGTTACAAAAAATCACATTTTATTAAAATGTTACGTAATGAATTAAGATAACCAATATTACAAAGTATTTGTGTAATGAAAATTGGCGAGATGAAAAAATATTAGTTAGTAATAAAGGATTTTTTTGTTCAAACTCATTTATGAAAAACTTGTGTAATACATTGTTTAATTGAAACATAAGAAATAACTACGACTCTATAAGCTTTACCTTTACGTAATGTCATCATTATATAACGGTGTTGTATAAATCTTCTGTAATATGGGGTCAAATAATAAAATAAAGTAATGGAAAGAATTACATTTGATTTCAATGTTATGTAAAAGTTATCACACCTTACATGACCTTTTATGGAATGCAATTTTATGAGATGACTAATATTCTGATAATAATAAAGGGTTTTAAGTTATGAAAGTATCACATTTGGTAAACTCTTACATGGAAAAGAACTAAGCTTATAGAACTTGAGTAATGTAAATTGATAAGATGATCAATAGTTTAACGAAATAATAAAGATTTTTTTTGTCACGCTTATATTACAGAAAACATATGTAATACTGTATTACTGAAAACGTATGCAATATGTTTATTAAATTTATGAGATAGTTCATATTTTAGTTTACAATAAAGAAGGAATATTTAGGCATAATACTGAATAGCTTCTCAAATGGAATTTGTTTTCTAAAAATGGTGTAGGAATTCGATTCAAAATGTGAATTGCATACAAATACAATCACTCCAAAACCTCATAGGCAAATTAGATCGAATCTTCGTGCCCTAACAATTTTCAAAATGTTTTGATGTTTTCTCTCAACCGTACCATTTTGTTCTTGACTCCCAACACATGAAATTTGGTGTACAATGCCTCTTTGATTATGAACATATGTCATGTAAAATTCCTTCCCCTAATCACTTTAACTCTCTTCACATATTGATTTTCAATCATCAGACAGAAGCTCTCAAAAAATCATCTATAATGATAAGAAAATATGAAAAGCATCATAGGATTGAACACTCAAGGGTCCCAAAATGCTTGTGTGAATCAACTCAAAGCTATCTTTACTAATGTTGTTAATTACTGGAAGGAAATGGAACTTAACTTTCTTCTATTTAGCATAATGTCAAGACTCACAATGACAACCCTCATTAAATGGTATCTCAGGATTAGAATTCTGCAAAAAAAAAAAAAAAAAAAAAGGTTTTGAACTTGAAAATGTGCCCTAATTAATCTGTATTGCCACAAGGCGATCTCTTGAGGCTGAAAATTGTAAACTGAAGCCACTATGGCATTGACTGGATGATGACCACTTGATCTCATATTCTGTGACGAAATGCTTAAAGCAATAATAATATAGGAGAAACTATTACTGTCTCAGCTTCGTCTTTGACAATCTCTTAACGGTTCCACTGATAACAAATATCGAACTCACGAGTGCCCGCGTCATAATAACACGGGCCATTTTTCCGGATGACCCATTGACAATTGCTACAACGTCTGTAATCTCTGTAAAAAATGTAAATGTCAAACCAATGAACCTGTCCTTCTCCCCAGTTCATGGAGCAGTAGAACAGAGTGGTTCCCCATAAATTTGGTCGGAACCTAAATACGAATTGGTCGCGTGTCCCCAACACCCGGACTCCGAGGTCATCGTCCTTCGATTTGCAATGAAGCTTCAATTCGGCACCTCCTTCCACCCTGTTCTCCACCCTCACCGTCGTCGGGGCTCGGATCCAATCGATAGGGTTCTTCATTTCCACGGGGAGAGAAGTTGTTAGTGCTGGCAGTAAGATAAGGGTTAACAAAATGGCATGGTTTCGCCACATCATTCTTCGTTTTCTATGTTTGTGTTGATGATCGTGAGAGACATTTTTAGGTATGCGTAGTACTTATACATAGGAGATTTTGTATGAGAGTGAGGTTGTTGTGGTGTGATAAATTCCTACGCAGGATCCGCTCTACAGAAAAACTGAAATAGAAAACAAAAAAATAGTTTGAGTTATCCATTGCTAACTAATTGCACTGAAAATGCCGAAACTAGTGCGCTCAAACACACACATATATATATCGATCGACTTCACTGAAATACACCCACACATCATTGGGTGTTATCCATATTGAATTCGACCGAGCATGAGGATGAGAAGGGCGATGATAACTAATGTTATGTTCATGGTGGTCGTCGTAACCATGAATGCTGCTGTTGAAGCCAGTCGCAAAGATGTCGATAATGTCTTTCCGCTGAAGAAAATAGTGATAGTTAGAAACAGACTCAAGGCTCAGGTGAAGGTGCACTGTAAGTCAAAAGATGATGATCTCGGAGTTAGGGTGTTGGGATATAATGAGAGTTTTCATTTTAAATTTTGGACGGCGTTATTTTTCAGAACCCTATTTTATTGTTCCTTTGAATGGCCCGGTAGCAATGGGATTCATTGGTCTGATATTTATGATGACACGAGGAATCATAACGACCCTAAAACTCTTGAATGGCTTGTTAAACCCTTTGGAGTGTGCATGTATGATATATATAGTTTGCGATATGACATATGTGCTTCTTGGAAAAAGTAGAATCTATGGTATTTTTTTCCTAATTAAACAGATTAGGTGAAGGGGAAAATAAGAAGAAAAATAAATAAAGTAAGGGAGAAACGCATTGTTTCAAATCTTTTTTCGTCTTGTACTTGTGAATAATCTGTTCTGTATTTTAGTTTCAAGGGGGTATTGTGATAAGCAATTCTGTGCTACAACAGAAATTGACCTTTTCAATAGATAAAAATGGCCAATAAATGTCAAATTTCTGTGTCGAGCTATTTATTGATCGAAATTTTCTGTTGCATCTTTGATCATATTTTTCGTTTCGGATTCTCACAAACTTAGAACGTAACCAATGATATTGGTCACGAAAATTACTACAACCCATATTTTACGGTTATTAAATGTTCTAAACCTGACTATGAATTTGATTATCCAAAAAAATCAAACACGTGACGCAAACAGTTGAGGTAGAACTGATAGTGATAGATATAAAGAAGGTCATCGTGACTAATCCTGCAACTCTGATTCCTTCAATAAGATAAGTGGTTAATTGCATGGTTGGTCACTGAGATTACAAAAAACATTCACGTTTGGTCACTGAAAATATTTAAATCCAATCTTGGTCACTCAAATTATTTAAATGGTTCAAATTTGGTCACTCTTCGTCCATTTCCGTTAACTCTAGCTTACGTGGCAGTCAACTTTCATAGTTGACCGTTAAATATGTGACGTGGCAATTAACAAATTATTAAAAATAAAAAAATCTTTTACATTTTCCACCTCATTATTACATTAATTAAAAAACAAAAAAAATATATTTTTTGTCCGCCCATAGAAAGAAGAAAGAAAAAATTTGTTTCATCCCTTACGCCAGTCGTTTCGCCCATTTCAAAATCCCAATGTCGATCAAGCACTCGCCGATTCCGGCGACATTCATTCTCCTCCTACTCGTACTAGGCCCTGTCGCCGCCGCCTCCCCCTTCCGGCCACTAATCCGAATCCCTAGCGACTGCAGGGCGCAATACCACAACCGCCGTCGCGGCGACCAGCTCTACTACAACAGCTGGAGGCTGTCAGTGGAAGCCAACAACTGCGTCGCGTGGACCGAACCGCCGAATTTGTGCGCCGACTACGTCGTGAAGTACTTCGAGGGGGAGCAGTACAGCTCGGACCTGGAGGTGTACGCTTCCGAGGCGGCGGCGTACCCCCGCACCGTGCCGGCCACAGGCGATGGGAAGGACGCTTGGGTCCAGGTGCGTAGCCAGGATTTTGTCGAGGGTGGGTCCATTTATAAAAAATACATACGATAAAATAATTTTGTTAGCTTTCTAAATCGTTCATGATATAATTTTGTATTTTCAAAAACTTGGTAAATTAAATTATATGTCAAAACTATCAAGAATATCAGCATATACGTATCAAACAATTATTTATAATTTAGTTAGACATTTGCTTTTGAATCGTGTTCTTCATCAAGACCGTTTAGTATCATTAACTCGAGTTGTTAGTAAAGATTTAATAATGAATCTAATACTATTTAGTATTTACTAACACTTTCATGCTTACTACAACCAACTTATGCATGCTTAAAGTTTACGTAAATCCGAATGTCATGTGTTTAACAAATGGGGTTACAAAGATTCAAACAAATGATATCTCGCTCAACCATTCTCAATTAGAAGTGCCCTAAATTTCATTCTCAATTAACTATTATACTAATTTACTCATTTTCGTCCTTAGGAAACACCTGTTACAATCTCCCTACCCCTGATTGTAATAAAATTATTTTTACAAATAAATTATGATTTGGTGGAAATTTGTTGTAAATATTGAATACATACATCTTCAATTTTGGTCGAATCATATACATCATTATCATTTGTACATAGCTCATTATAAATACATTGAATATGTCAACGCTCGTTATAAATCATACATCAAATATTTCAAAGGTCTACCAATTTCATTTAAATACGTATTATTTTTCATACCCGATTAACTATTGTACCTAATTGACCATTTTCTAACCCGAGCCAGGGACCCACCCTCTAACTCTCTCCCTCCACCCCTGCTTGGGTCATTGACGTCGACGAGACCCTGCTCTCCAATCAGCCTTACTACGACATCCACGGTTATTGTTGAGAGTCTCGTTGAGGTACAAATAGCTTGCAATCAGGAGATCGTCGAGCGTGGCTTGCTCCAGCTGCGAGCCGATCTTCTTCTCCAAAGCGGCAATGGCGCCAAAATCTGGTCATCCAATCAAAAAATCCCATTAGTAATTAGTTAATTACAATAAAAAAACATATTGATGCGAGATGTGATTAAGCGAGTTAATTAGTTAATTTAATATAAGTCATTGGGTTCATTGGATTAGTTAATTACGGGAACATGGGAGTCTCCGGCGCTACGCTTGGCGTGTTAGATATAACACAATAGCACAAGTAATTTCCCGAATATCACTTGTAGAATATAAACAAAATATATTCGATCAATCCACTGGATCATCATAATGCTAGATTATCAAAGGTTAATAGGAGATACCTGGATTTATGATGACCGTCTAAAGCTAGATGCGGAAATGATGACGATCAATCTCCGGACGATGCCTCTTAGTGCACGACCCAGGAGGTTATGCAGCCTTCCTCAACCAAGCTCCCTCAAACCCACTCTCAGACAATCTCTGGCAGCTTGCTTGTGCTCGAAGTCTGCCAGAAAAACAGCCTTCGTAGCAACTTCGACCCTTTTGTTTGAAGCCTTACAGATATCCAATCTTTCATCCAATGCCTTGAATTTGTATAAAAACATACCTAATTTAACGTGGTAGAGGCTCCTGGACTCGACTCGCATTCATGCTTCTCGAATTGAGCTCCAAAATAGGCTTCACAAACACGTTTCCAGACTTAGCCATTTCCAGGCAGTTTTCCAGTTTTGGCATAGCCTTTTGACGAGGTTCAAAAATGGTCTTCTGGACTTCCTATCGAACTCTCTTCCACTTCAATATGTAGAGGGACACTCCAGCTTCAAAACAAGTCATTAGTCTTCCATTTCCATCTAGCCAATTGTATGATATGAATATCCAAAGTAGGCACCATGAACTATTTTTACACTGAAACAACGTATTAGGTCGACTTGGTCCTATATGAGGTCGACCGAATCCTAAATGAGGTCGACCTATTCCTAACTGAGGTCGACTGGAAAGTGCAAGTCACCGTGACATGCATGTCACCGTAGGCGCACCCTAAATTTTTTTTATGGTAAAAAAATGTCCACCTAGTCAACTTGTTATTTCTCCAAGTGCTTATGTGACAAGAAGTTACTTTTGAATTGCCATAATATATAGTATAGTATAGATAGATAGATAGATATAGTCAGAACAAGTTACGGGTTCGTTTCCTAACAACGGTCAATGATAGGGCAAAAGCGTATAGCTTCAATTCTTATCTTGTAGTAAAACCGGAAAGTCCGGGTATCGTCTCTCAGGGACTGGTACAACCTTTTATTCTATCAATTTATAGAGCAAACTATAGGTGAAAATGGTTTATGAGACTAATTATCTATAAGCAAAATAAACTAATCAAACAAAGTAAAATGGTATGGAGAAATTCAATGGAGAAAGCTCTGGGAGAAACACCGGGACTCACTACCTACCCTATCCAAATTAATTCACATATTTCAATCAGTTTAATCCAATTCTCTACAGCCAAGATATCCCGAATGTGCTAGCTATCCCTATCGGGAATTACTACGTACTAAATAATCAATTCAAATCCTACTGTCGTAGCTCAATGAATTAACTATATAGTCTGAAGAACGATATCCTATTTAAGACCGCATAGCACCTTATTTAATCTCTGTACAGGTAGTATCTTGTTCCGCAAAGATATTCGGATATATTACCTATGTGTGCCATGTTTATGTAGCAGCATATCTTGCCTATGTACATTAGTAGTTCGTCATAGATATGTAACCGTGCATTTTGCGTTGTACATATAGCGGTTTTTAATAAAACTAGGTGGTGACGTATCACCATTTTATTTCAAACTTTTTGTACATGTCGCAACAAACACGTAATACATATTATGGCATATACTATGTACGTATTATGGCATACTCGATACATATTATGGCGTAAAGTACCTTCGAAGGTGCATGGTGTTCCAGGTGCGGGGAATATTTCGGCCACTAACATCAGAAAGCTTGACAGTGTTTGGACCAACCACTTCGCGTACTCTGTAGGGTCCTTCCCACGGTGGATTGAACTTTCCTAAGCTTGTTTTGTGGTAAAAGTTGCGGCGGAGAACCCATTCACCTTCACATATTGGTCGCTGCTTTACTTTGGTATTGTAGTAACGAGCTACACGTGCCTTCATGGCTGTCATTCTGAGGAGAGCGTCTTCTCGACGTTCTTCAATGAGATGGAGGTCATGAACAAGCTCCTGTTGATTATCGTTAGGGTGAAATGTTTCAATGCGGTAGGAAGAAAGCTCAGTTTCCACAGGAATTACTGCATCTATGCCAAAGGTGAGGGCATAGGGTGACTCCCCTGTGGCTGTTTTATAGGTCGTGCGATGAGCCCAAAGAACATGAGAAAGTTCTTCCGCCCACTTTCCTTTTGCTTCATTCAGTCGAGTTTTTAGCCCCCAGAGGATGTTTTTATTGGCTGACTCTGCTTGTCCATTAGCTTGAGGATAGGCGACAGAAGCATAGCGGAGGAGGATGCCATACCGTGCACAGTATGTTTGAAGACTTTCACTTGTGAACTGTGTCCCTTGATCGAGTATGATGGTGTGGGGAAGACTAAAGCGACAAATGATATTTTCCCACAAGAATTTCTCGACTTGTTGGGCAGTGAGTCCAGTGATGGCTCTCGCTTCTACCCATTTGGTGAAGTAGTCGATTGCGACAATGAGCCATTTTTTTCGTCCCGGGGCTTCAGGGAATGGTCCCAGGAAGTCCATTCCCCATTGGGCAAATGGCCATGGACTAATATTTCCTTGCATGGGCCCAGGTGGTGCATGTGGAACTTGGGCGGCAACTTGACACTTGATACAAGATTTGACATACTCTCGCGTGTCTCGGCGCATAGTGGGCCAATAGTATCCCTGCCTGAGGAGGATCTTCTCGAGACTTCGTGGGCCAGCGTGCATTCCACATGATCCATCATGAGTTTCACGGATAGCAAAGTTGGCTTCCTCTTCACCAAGGCACCGGAGGTACGGGCCCATAAAACTTTTTTTTGTAGAGTACACCTTCTATAAGGAGGTAGCGAGGAGCACGCCTCCGAAGTTTCATGGCTTCCTTGGGGTCAGTGGGTTGAAAGTCATGTTGGAGATACTCCATGAGGGGTGTGCGCCAATCTTGTGGGAGTGATGACGAGATAATAGGAGCGCACAACAAAGGAGGGCGACGCTCAACTACCACATTCCTGTCTTCAGGGAAGTCTCGAGCCGTGGCAAGCTTCGAGAGGGCATCCGCATGGAGATTTTCTTCTCGTAATACATGTTTAATCTCAACATGTATAAAATCAGTCATAATGGCTCGAGCAGCATTGACGTAGGCAGTTAGGGCAGGTTCACGAGCCTCGTATGCCCCCATAACTTGATTGACAACAAGGGCAAAGTCTGAGTGTATCAATATTCTTTGAACTCCTAATTCTTGTGCCATTGTTAAGCCAGCTAGTAAGGCTTCGTATTCTGTGGCATTATTAGTTCTTGGAGTTGTAAAACGAACAGCCAGCTCATGGGTAACACCCAATGGACTGATAAGAAGCACTCCTGCTCCAGAGCCGGACTTGCTTGAAGCTCCATCCACAAATAGCCTCCAAGTTTCTGACTCGGATGGTGTGGTAACGTGAATTCCTTCGGCCACAAAGTCAGCCAACACCTGTGATTTGATGGATGTACGGGGGAGGTAGGTGATATCATACTCACTTAATTCAATGGCCCAGTTGATCATTCGACCCGCTACATCCATACGTTGGAGAAGCTTTCGGAGAAACAATTGTGTAAAAACACATATAGAGTGGCTCTGGAAGTATGGGCGAAGCTTTCTGGAGGCCACGACCACAGCTAAAGCAGCTTTTTCTACGGGCGAATACCTGGTCTCAGCATCTAGTAGAGTTTTACAGGTATAATATATCGGATGTTCAGAGTTGTCAGTATCTCGACGAAGAAGTACCGAGCTCACAGCCTTCTGCGACACGGCAAAATACATGAAAAGAGTTTCATTATTTACCGGGGCAGAAAGCACTGGAGGTGTCACTAAAAAATCCTTGAGCTTAGTAAAAGCTTTTTCGCACTCAGGTGTCCATTCAAAGTGTTTCCCGGCATCCTTCAAAGTGGCAAAGAATGGAGCACAACGATCACCGGCACGAGAGATAAAACGATTGAGTGCGGCGATGCGACCTGTGAGAACTTGTACTTCTTTGCCTCTGGTTGGGGAGGACATATGGAGGATGGCATCAATTTGTCGAGGGTTTTCCTCGATACCTTTCTGGGTTACCATGAACCCCAAGAATTTTCCAGCAGTCGCCCCAAAAACACATTTCTTAGGGTTGAGTCGAAGAGCATATAGGCGAAGAGTGTTGAATGTTTCTCGCAAATCTTCCAGATGTTCATTGACACTGTTACTTTTTACCAAGATATCATCAACATAGGCTTCTAGGTTCCGACCAAGTTGAGGTGAGAAGACACGATCAACCATTCGTTGATAGGTGGCTCCAGCATTCTTTAAGCCAAAAGGCATAACCTTATAGCAATAATTACCAACTGGGGTCATGAATGCTGTTTTTTCTTGATCTTCTTTTTTCATGGGAATCTGGTGATAACCAGAAAACATGTCGAGGAAGGAAAGAAGGCGGTGCCCAGAGGTAGCATCAATCAATCGATCAATTTTGGGAAGAGGATATGGGTCTTTTGGGCATGCCTTATTGAGGTCAGTGAAGTCTACGCACATCCTCCACTGCCCATTGGCTTTTTTTACCATAACAACGTTGGCCAGCCATGTGGGGTAGAGAATTTCTCGGATGAATCCTGCCTGAGCGAGTTTGACTACTTCTTCTGCAACAGCTTGACGTCGTTCCCATGCAAAGTTCCTTCTCTTTTGTTGTACAGGAAGACAGCCTGAGAGAATTCCTAGGGCATGCTCAGCTACCTGACGTTCAAGTCCAGGCATGTCTTCAGGACCTTGGGCGAGTAGTTCTTTAAATTCTCGGACTAAGTTGAGAAGCTGAGGAAGAGCTTCTTTAGGCCAAGCGGTTGAGACACGGATGGTAAGGCCATCTTGAACAACTTGTTCCTCATCAAGGTCGAC